CGCAACTGGTTGAAAAATTTCACGCCTATTTTCCTACCTATAACGTGAGCCATCGTTGCTTCGAGCTTTATCGTTGCCCTTAGGCAATTTAGTAAAGAAACCGATCAAAATCTTTGTTTTTCTAAACAGTTTCTTGAATTTTTTGCCACTAAATTCATTGATGACGGGATTTGATGGAGCGGGTTGAGAAACAGTGATTTTGAATGCACCATTCGACACATTATCGTGTGCAGACGTTTCTTTCCCATCAACTATTTTTTGTATGATTTTAACATTATCAGTGCCCAGTGTTGGTTTTAATTCTTTGTTGATCCTAAAATGTTCTTCTGAATTAATGACACTTGCATTGGACGCAACTTTGTCGTTACTTGCAGTCATTTCATCTTTGCTTTGAAACCAAACGCGCGTTCCTTTTTCTACGGTTTTTAGTTTTGAATGTAATTTACTGAAACTTAATTCAGATGCTACTGCGGTGTTATTTAATTTTGTTATAGAAGTTGTTTCATCTTTACTTTCAATTTGAACAGACGTTTCTCTTTCTATGTTTTGAATAAAAATGGATGTCTCTTTGTTTAGATTCAAAGGACGCGCATTGACATCTTTGCTTGATTCCCAATCAAAAGTCATTATTCCTTTATCGAATGTTTCAATAAAATGTGATGCGTCAATCAAAGTTAATACTTGAACAGACGTTGAATTTCGAGTCAAATCTTCACTTTGAGTCGAAAAAGATGCTTTTTTATCTTTAGTTTCAGTAAAATTAGACGCAACTTTTACTTTTGTAGGCGTGTGTAATATTTTGGTAATCATAGCATAAAATAGCAGCATATTAAAACTTTTGGTAGGTATTTGATTCATTTTATTAAAGGCTGTGTTGTCATTGCCTGTATTAGTGACTGAAAAACGAGAGTCATTGCTGTAAAACGTGTTATGTTTTACAGCGTTACTAGTAGTTGCAGCTAATATTTTATTGCTTTCGTTAATAATCTCAGCATAAATGTTGATTTTACCAGAGCCTTTCAATTGTGTGCTACGTAGTTCATTAGTGTTATGAAAGTTTATTTCGCCATCTGTATTCGTACTCAAAATAGACTCCTCATGAACTGTCGTCTCTGGTTTTGGAGTTATCTCATTTGAAATATCCTGGTCAAACACATCACGAGTACAAGATTGGATATTATTAGCTCGTGGTAAAACTGTGACATCGTTTTTACTTTTCGAAGTACCTAATATACTACGTTCTGGTGTTCCAAACATGAAATTTCTCTTTTGTTTAGCCCACTCGTCCCATTGACTAGATCTTAGACTCAAAAACTTGTTTGGATCCCATGCAAAATTTTTATCAGGTTTTTGATTCGAAGTTTTTGTATTAATTTTTTGTTTCAACGTAAATTCTTTAAATATGTCGCTTACTTTGTTATCTTTCGGCATAACTTGAGGTATTGGGTTTACAGAAGTAGGCATTAGTATGACGCACCTCTGGAAGTTTATATTTAGTTTGCTGTCAGAAGCACTATGTGTCGTTCGCGACTTAGTTTCTTCACTTTTTCTAATGCATATTTTAGTGTCTGGTGCATTGTCACTTATACCAATTTCTTGTGAAGCAGATGTCGAACTTTTTATAGGTCTATCTATATAAATTAGATCTTCGCTTTCTTTTCTTGAAATCAAAATGGGTTCTCTTTCTTTGTTTCGAGTCAGATTAGACGTACCTTCGTCATTACTTTGAGTCATATTAGATACTTCCAGGCCTCTGATTTTATCCACACAATAATGAAATTTGTCTTTGTTTTCACAAAAACTAGAGACAGTTTGGTCAATGTTTTGAGCTAAAGTTAATGCCTGGTCGTTGTCATTTTGAACAAATGGTTTGTGTTTTTTATTTTGAGTCAATGTGATGTTTTGCTCATCTTTTTCGTTCTTATCTTTGGTCAAAATGGATACTGTTTCGTAGTTAACTTGAGTCATACTAGATGATTCCTGGTTTTGACTTTGTGTCAAATTTGGTTTAGCTATATTTATAGGCTCACTTAATATAGATGTCAATATATTTCTGTCCTCTGTAATAGTTATAGATGGCATTTTATCATTGTTCTTAGTCAAAATCGATAGTTTATAATTTTTTCTTTTAGTCGAACTAGATTCTTTGTCGCTTACCCTCTGAGCCACTATAGATGGAAAAATATCATCTTGGAAGTCGTTCATAATAACAGGTGACGTTTCATCATTACTTTTTGGCAAAATAGATGACACGTTTTCTTCACTTTTTATCATAAAAGGTGCGTCATTATTTTTATTTTCTTTCGTAATAGATGCTACCATGTCATTATTTTCAGTCATAAAAATTGCCGCGTCATCTTTCTTTTCTGTCAAAATAGACGCCATCTTGCATTTACTTTCAATTACAAAAGATGCCTCACAATCTTTCTTTTCTTTCGAAACAGATGACACCTTGTCATCAAATTCAATCAGAAAAGATGCCTCACCATCTCTCTTTTGTTTTGAAATCGATGACTCCTTATCCACTTTCACAATGATAAAAGATGCGTCATCAGCTACATTTTCTTCAGTTTCAAGCTTATGAGATTGTCCATTATCTTTCTTTTCCGTCAAAATAGACGCCTCCTCTCCTTCGCTTTCAATAATAAAAGGCGCCTGATTATCTTTATATTCTGTCAAAATATAAGCTACCTTTTCTAAATTTTCAGTCAGTTCAGATGCATTTCGGTCTTCGGTTACATTTGAAGTTGATTCTAATTTGCTATAATCGCTCTGTGAAGCCACAGATTCTTCATTATCATACGATATTACAAAGGAACTTGATGAATCCTCTTTTATTGCCTGTTTCGAATTTGTGCTCATTTTCTGTGTTTATATTTGCATCAGATTTTGTAAAATTTAGTTTTTTGTTTGTACTTCTCGTTTCAACTTTATCTTTAATTTTTCCATTTTGCTGTAAAGAAAATATGAATATAATTGAATAATTGTCACTAAAATTTAAAATTAAATATATTGACCGGGAGATCGTGGCGTATAGTTTAGGAAATACAATTTGATATCACAATATAACAAAAGATGAGCACAATTAGAACGAAAGACGAGCACAATACCGGGAGTAACAGAAAGGGTATAACAAGCCGAAAGAAGGTCAAGGTACTCATGAAACTGAACAACTTTCCCCATGGAAAAGGGGTCGAAATATGCAAAAAAAAATTGACCTCCCATACAAAATCTCCGATCAGCTGATTGATTTACTATGGGAGGTCCAATATTTTTTCCATGTTTCGACCCATGTTCCATGGGGAAAGTTGTTCAGTTTCATGAGTACCTTGACCGTCTTTCGGCTTGTTATACCCTTTCTGTTACTCCCCGATGACGAGCACAATAGAACCTTTTCTTTGGGAGTCACTTGGGGATAACATTCATCGGGTCAAATTACAATACATAGCCCGAGGAATATATCACGCCTATATTCCTCGCGGGGTAGGCAGAGCGTAAACCACGTCTTAGGCGACAGGCTGACAACCTGTCACTACTATGGTGACACACAGTCATCTAAATGACTCTTAATCTTTTGTCAGAGTAAATGGCCGTTTTTACAGCTGTCTACGGTCTGCCTACCCCGCAAGGGATATAGACGTCATGTTTGACACATTAACTTACCTGTTGAATCATTCTATCTAATGCAAAAAATTACACCAAAATCCGTTGCATGATTTTGGAGTTTGCGAGTTCCACGACAGAAAGACAGAGAAACACAAAAAGCGACTTCATTTTATACTATGTATGTACCTAATGTATTGATATTGATTCACTCACCTAAATTTTTCGTAGGTTTAGATTTGCAAATGTTTATCTAAGTGAGGAATAGAGCTTTTTATTTTACTTACGTCTGGTGCGTATCCTGTAACAAAGAAAACATTGTTGATAAGTAAGATATATGTACTAAGTACTTGTTCAAAGCACGCGTTCGACACTTGCCGCTTTTGAGAGTTGATGTGTGTTGCAAATATTGCAAGTTTAGGCGGCAGGCTTCTTCAGAATGACTCTCAAAACTTTTGTCAGACGTGGTGAAAACGGCCGTTTCTTTCAGCCGTTAACGCTCTGCCCGCCCCGCAAGGGATATAATTATGTATGTATTCCCAAATTCCAACATATCCTAGCTAGACATTACTTGGAGTCATTCGAGTAGCAGGAAGTGTAATGAGTGTATTGGGATTTTTAATGCACTCACAATGGTATAGGCATGTATAGGTAGGTAAGTGAGGTAAGTATTATTCTCATAAATAGGCGCGTCCACACTGAGCGAGGCTGCTCGAGTGCTCATTGCCTCGCGCGGCATACGCTCGTGCGCAGGCGAGCCAAGTTCAGCCCAATTTGGACGCCTAATAAATTAATAGGCAAACTTTTGAAGCGCGTTCGGTTATTCCCAACGGTCCCCGAAGATCGGCCCCTGAAAGGCCCGTTGGGATTCTTTTTCCTAACGACCCCCGAATTTCTATAAGTTTGAATACAGGGGCCGTTGGGACGAAAAATTCTAAACGGGCCCCGAAATAAAAATAAAAAAAAGCGTGTTAAAAGTATATAATATTAAGGCCCGCTGGGATTCTTTCTTCCCAACGGCCCCCGAATCCATACTTTTAGAGATTCGGGGGCCGTTGGGAATAACCGACTTTTGGCTCAGCCCGCGCGCGTTTGGCTGAGTTAGCCACGTCATATGTCGCACGAGCTAATGAGTACTCGAGCAGCCTCGCTTAGTGTGGACGCTCCTATTGAAAATAGCTGTGTGGTAGGTAGCTGCTAAGAATACTGCCACCCCTAGTGGGCATTTCACAAAATGCGTCGTTTTTGACCACGGCTGAATATCTGTCGATTGGTTTGATACCATCTACAACAACATTCCCAAAGAGGGTTGAAGTCAGGCAGGCAGCCGGTTTGCGATAAGGACAGAAAGATGACGATGAAATAAAAATAAGATAGGTATGTCCAAAAAATGCACTAGCGTCAGCCGCGACTTGAACCCGGGACTGTGGGGTACCGTCCCACTCCTCTGCCAACTGAGCTACAGGCACCTGGCTGGCCCTAACGAATCTTTCAACTTTGATGCTCGTTTCGAAGCGATGATCTAGCGTTGATCTAGGTGAGCGAAGATTCGTTTAGGTCAGCCAAGCGCTGGTGGCTCAGTTGACACAGAAGTGGGACGGTACCCCATGGTCCCGGGGTCAAGTCCCGGCCGACGCTAATGAATCTTTCAACTTTTCTTGTTCTCAGTGGTTATGCCGGTGGTAGATGCGGTCTTCCGTGTACGATTTCAGAAAACATAGGTAGTTTCAGAAATTGAACTATATTTAATTCATATCATACCTACATACTCGTAGGTAACCAAGTACTTACTTACTATTTTATGCAAACAACTTAATTTATACTTGCTCTTGCTCACGTTTTTTGGCTAATTTTGTATTTTTCCTCTTGAGATTTAATTCAATTCAATATTTACAATAACGTGATTGACAATGACAGAAATGTCAAAAGAGACATCCGGAAAAAGTATGAAACGCGGGCGAAGAATTTCGACTGAAGTGAGAGTTATACAGGTTTAAAGTACATAATTAATAAAGCAAAACTCCTAAGTTATATTTTAAAAAATCATCGCCGTTTTTTATTAAAATAAGTTTTAAATAAGTGAAGTGGTAATCATAATGATAATGCTGGCAACACTATGGTAAACTCTCAGTTTGGCACTAAAGAGCACGTATCCGAGCCAGAAACCCTTTTATTAAGGCTCCAGCAGACCGAATGCTACGTCGCGTAGACGCAGACGCACGCAACGGTTGTAATGTATGGAGCTGTATGAAGTGCGCATATACGCGAGATTTTCTGGACTTCTTATTTTAATTGCATTGCGTGCCGTATCTGGTGTGCGGGAGCCTTAACGCAGACGAAGCGCAGCGCGGATGCTTTCGTGCAGTAAATAGTATAGAGATAACAGGGCCCCAAGTCTGCTAAATGAAAATCGTTTCACTTGGATGTCGATGGCTTGTCAGTTGCATGGTTTCGGTCATTTCGTAGTCTGCTAACAGTTTTTAATAGAAAATCACAGTGGCAATAGAATGACAGTTGTGTGTCGCTGGCATTACAATGGCAAAAAATTAGCGGACTTGGGGCCTAGGTGTTGCGTTGCGTGCGTACGTCTGTCATCTGACGTCTCCATTCCATTTCTGCACGCACGCACGCGTTCTACGTTCAGTCTGCGTTAGCTTTAAGGGCGTGCGCTGCGTCGCTGGGACTATCAATGCGAGGACCAGCACTGCTTGAAGTAAGGGCATGCGCTGCGTATGCTTGCCGGTGTGGCAGGGACTGCGCGCCTTCGTAGAAATACACGCTACGCGACGTGACACGACATAAGGCGACGCGTCCTGTCTGCGGGAGCCTTTACTTTTTCTACCTACTCTACACATGCAACCTCATTAAAAAAACTCTTTAGATGCAAAAAATATCCCTTGGTTGTCAAGTATTATGTTTGACAATGGTTTAACAATTGATTTGTTTACTTTGAGCTTTGATAATTATTTTACTTATTTTGTGCGATTTATTGTTGTATTTATTGTTTATTACATATTTTACCGTTACCTGCAGACCAGGGGATCGTCAATAATAATTACATTATAAGGTTTTAAGTGATTTATTGTGCTTCTTATCGAATAACATGATTTTTTGTGTTTTTGCATCTAAATCAGTACAATCCAGTATACAACATGTGCAAATGAAGTCTTATTTGAATACAATTTAGGTATTTAATAAAATTCGATGCATAGATAAGTTTAAAATGTTCTAGGGCATTAAAATATACCTATTTATAAAGAACGAAATACAGTGTTTGTGTTTGTTTTGGTTTAATGACAGATATGAATGACAGTTTACTTTTTAACATTGATATTCATTAATTTTTTATAGATACTATGCCGTCATCTAAGAAGGTTTTATATGATTTCCATGGCAATGCAACAAAAATGCATGTTCGTTTCATTTTTAGTATCACATATTGTCCATTTGGTTTTTTATAAATATAAAAAAAACGGCGATCCTTACAAACAAATGAAATATGTGCCAAAGTAGAATTTTAACTAAGCTTTAAAATGACCTCTTGAAAAAGTTTTGGTTCTTGTAGACTCTAAAAGGTACTCTGTGGCGGCGGCGATGGAATGGATCAGCTAATATATAAAAGGTACTCTGTGGGAATGGAAGCCACAAGTGAAGCAATCCATTTGAAGTCTTTCGTATTAATTAAAAAGATTAAAGTTCAGAATTGAAACCTTTGATTGAAACTGTCATGATATTGGACTTAGAGACTTCTGCAACTGGGCCCTCCATTTACCCCCCAAGACGTGCATTTAGCAACTTGTTACATCATTTTGCTCTTTTCACCATGTAAATAGAAGGAATTCTCAATTTCTATCTCAGTCTAACACTGCATAATTCTAAGAAAGACGATGAAATAAAACAATTAAATTGAATATTGATCTTTATTTGAAACAACTTTTAGATAATAAGGTATAATATCATTATTTATTAAATAAGCCATTTATTACTACTTGCTAAAATTTTAAAGCAATAAAAAGCAAGTGCTTTACTTTCAGAATCGATTAATTATACAAGGTGTTACGAAAAGTTATAATACATTCTTTCAAAGGGAGAAAATAGCATATAAAACTGAACAAACCTTAAGGGTAAGGAAGGACTAATATAAATAAGCTAAATTTATAAAATATGCTAGTAAAATTAATTAAAATTGTAAGAATAAGGCCAACGAGAAGAGATAAAGAATGAAAAGTACTTTTTAGGAATCATGCATATTTTTTTTGGACCAGGGATCGTTATCGGGTAAAGGTACATGTATTTATTTTATTAATTAGATTCACCATGTTTTGAAGGTGAAAGCGGAAAAGGGCTATGATCTTAAGTTTAGGTACCGGTAAAAATTTGCGCTACCGGTACCTTTATCCAATATAATTTTGATATAAAAAAATACATTGCGCTGTATTGACGTTGCATTAATTTGCAGAACCCTTATGATAGCGGTTTTGGTACCGTAATACCGGTACGGTAGCGGTAAAAATAAGGTACGATAGTGAAAACATAAACCTAATAAATCTTTACATCGTCATACTCTTCACCGTTTTAACAGGAATTATTTCGATCCTAGTTGGAACCTGCGACTTTAGACTATCTGTACTGGCGACGCCTCGTGTGTTCCCGATGTTATTAAATTTAACAAATTTTGCAAGTTCACAAAATAATTTATAAATATTATAACAGGTAAAGTGAATACCCTAATTTTAAAACAATTCCTGTGTTAGATATAAAATTTTCGGAAAACTTGCAAAATTCCACCGCAGGCAGGGTTTGAACCTGCGACCTTCGGTATGTGTACTGAAAACGCCGTCCAGTTTTATATGCTGTTTCACCACCAAAGACTATTTCTAACACTCTGTATAACGTAAAATATCAAAATTTATTGCTTCGTAAGACACGGTTGGACCAAATTGTAGGACAGGTTTTTTATAATATTAGGCACTATTTAGTAGTCTTTATTCAATGTTTATTGTCAAACATTTGGTATAGTAATAAAATGGATGTGTTCCATTGTTCCATTATTCATTGGCAAAATTTAATGAAATTTTAATATTATATTTGAGTAATAATTGACTATTTTTTATCTTATTTTAGCTTGTTAGTGATATTTTAATTAATTATTTGTTTGTGATGTAAAATATGATTTTCTAAATGAAATTTGATAATTATTTATATTTTTGTGGATTTCTATGTGACGTCAACATTGTCGGTTTGAGCTATGTGCTTGTTATGATAATGATTGTAATATATTTAATAAATAAATAAAAATAAATAAATAAAAAAAAAAAAACTAAGAATATTAGAATAGCTCTTTCAGCCTATGAAATACAGGGTGTTAATTTAAATGCGTGCCACAGCTTCAGACTAGGTTTAGTATCGATAAAGGATGTCGTAAAAAATATTGTAAATATTCCTACAGGCAAATTTTTCTATTGAGTCATTTCAAATTTCGGAAATTCCATAATAATTCATAAAAAAAAACTCTTTTGCCGTAAAGACAGTGTAGACATAATGACTTTCGTCTAATCAGTTTTGAGATTGAACACTTAAATTAAACGGATTTTATTATTAAATATTTTTTGTCATTTTCTATGGTACTCTAACCTACTGCACGCATCAAATTAACACCCTGTATACATAAATATACATGTATCACGCCTACATGAAATATAATTAGTTATTCATTACATCCAGTATACAATAGAGCGATAATTAGTTTTATTTTATTTTAAACAATAGAAATAACATACAAACCATTAATTACAACAATAATGCAAAAAGATTCGGTTTTAAAATACGAATAAACATACTACAAAACGACTTAATAATATAAAAACAACATTTTATCTTAAATACTGAAGAATAATAATACAGCACGCGAACGAGTTCATGATCATCCTGAAATATGGGCCTCCTTGTCATACTCGCAGTGGTACTGGCGTGTGCGACAAGGATGCGCATATTTCGGTATGGTCATGAACTCGTTCGCGTACTGTACCTCCATAATTTTTCCAGGGATCGTTTTCGGTTAAGGTACTATAAATAACGGTACCGGTAGACGTTTCAAAGTTTATGAACACAGTTTCAACCTTTATTAAACCGGTATAATTTCGATATTGACAAATACATTGCGCTGTATCAAGGAAGCATAAACTTTATGAATGCGATTTAGTTGTCGTAAAAGTAAATGTATCGTTATAGGTGCGGTAGAGATATATTTTAGTACCGAATCGTTATGACATCATTACTTTTCGGTATGATGTTTTAACCGAAAATAGAACGATCCCTGATTTTTGCTAGGGCTGTCGAATCATTTGGCTACTGTTTACCGCGGGAATAATGGGAATAACGAAAAAATCACGGATAGGAATTAATTATGATTGAATTTCTATTAAATCTACTTAAACAGGAACATAAAATGGGTCTTAATATGTCAAGG